GGACGAGATAAGGAAGTCTTGGACGATGTTACAAAAAAGCGCTGGAACAAGGTGGCCGAGCATGAAGAACGCATGGCAGAGTTGAGACAGCTCATTGCAAACCGGTCGGTCGACGTCACAGAGATGTGACTGGAAGTTACTTGATACAGAGTTTACGGAAAGAGCTGACCTGACACAAATCGAACATACTGAACACACAAAGGATACATCAGTGAGAAGTTTGACAAGTAATTCAGCGTGCAGGCCTCAGAGCTGGGGAGCACACGACTCCTACGGGAGAGGGGCCATCTACCGAGACCATACTGAACCTGCAAGTAATTTGCGATACCCATGCCCAAGAGATTAATAGCCTGTCTAGGGGGCTGTGACTTTGTGGATTGAATCCTTGGATGAGGGAGGCAGGTAATTGGGAGCCAAAGATGGCAATGCAGAACCATTAGTGCAGCGATTTGAGATTCGAGATGATGTGGTGTAGCTGTGGTTTATTTGTCGAGGTTGTTGCCTACACCAGAATCCGCACATAGTAACACACCGATGTTTGACATGTGTTCCTCCAAACCAGAGAGCCTGAATGGCAAAATCCAACAGCCAAGGGCGATCCCTCGTAACAAGAAAATTCAACAGTACAGCCCTACGGAGGGGGCACGCCTTTATGCTGTTGCTTCATAGTTACGGAGGACACGGTCAGATAATGTACAGATTTTGCTTTGTAGCCCAAACCCTATGTCCAAGGACCTGCCAGGGGAAAGGTTAGTACCGGGGGATTGTGCTAGTGATGTTGAGAGTAGCGGCAGGGGTCTGGGTTCTAAGGTTGGCAGATATGGCGTGAACGGACCGCTCCAGTGCAGGAAAGTGGACCGATCCTTAACCGAGTCTCACAGCTATCTGCTGGAAGGGAGTGTGGCAATCGGGAAGCGGAGTTAGCGTGTGATGGTTAGTAGTGGGCCCAGCTTCCTGAGTGAGCCTCTTGTGCTCGCTAGTCCCGCCTGGACCGCGCAAGGCGTTTGGGGCTCGGGGCAGTGCCCCGGCTCACCCGCAAGGGGTGAGCATAGCCCGAAGAAGAAGAAGCGAGAGAATGAAGCCCATGGTGATGAAGAAAACCTCAGAGGGTGACGAGGCTAGTGGCACTAAGGGCAGAAGCGTCTACACGCAGACCGGAAAGAGGAGGCGCAGGAGATGTGAGGATCCTCAGGCTGATAGGGGTGAAGAGGACGATGGAGGACTGCTTTGGGTCACGCTGGAGATCAGAGAGCAACTTCTGAGGGCGCAAGCGGCGACGCTCCCTGCAAACAAGCGAGGCAGCGAAGCAATGGTTTAATGCGACGGTCCTTGATGTCGATGACGGGGAAAGCCAGATTCCCACACAGCCATACCAGATGATGAGCCAACTGGAACCACAGGGACAAGCCACCTCGGCACAAGAGCAGGGCTCCACGGACACACCCAAGACAGTGGACATGGACAGCTCGCCAATGATGGAGCCGCCACTGGGAGAGAGGACATGGGAGATGGAATATGAAGCCATGGAGCAAGAAGAGCGTACGCGAATCCGTGCGATAGTTGAGGGTGCCGAATGGAGGCCATTGCGGAGGCGATGGAAGCGGAGGATCAGGCTGAGCAAGAACGAGTCCGAGGCAGCAAACCAGGGCCCCGACACCGAGACGATGGCGAAGGCAGTGGCAGCGAGAGCATGTGAGATTCTACGACGAGTCCCGCTGAGAAGTCACCTTTGCATGAGGAGGGCGATTGACCTGCCATATGGGAGTGTTTCATGGAATGTCCTTCACCGTTCTGGGGTTAAGTATTTAGCGATGTCCGATAGTTCCTGGTTTCCTTTTGCAGTGTAGAGATGCAGAGTCGGTGGTGTGTGCTCATGTGAGTCGCTCTCGGGGCAGGGCCTGAGGTGGAGCTTAGGCCAGAAATTTGATTTTTCATCGCTTTTGCACCAGGGGCGAAGACCTGTGTGGTCTAAAGGTGCCGCTTTGACTGATCAGTCCGCGATATATGTGAGGGGCTCCTGGTTGGTTGTTACTTGTCCCCCTAAGGCTCCCTTCCTTGTTTATTCACCCTTGTAACCCGAGCTATTTGCACACCGGGTAGGTCGCAAGCCTAGAGGATGCCAACGGGCAACAACATGCAGGACAAGAGCCTCGTAACACGAAATAATCATCATCTCCTTCGGGGCAGGAGCGTAATTTGTTGCTTCATACCACCATATTGATGCGACCGAACCCCGGGGGGGGTGCTGTACAGCGGACTGATCCTTCCATTTATTTAGGCAAGTGGGGTTGAGATAGAGGCCTGAACGGTGCACTGTGATGGTACTCAGATTTCCTCCTTTCTCGAATTGCTGTGAGTTATGGTGGCTTGATCCTACTTGGTTCCAGGTGTGCAGTTATGTCGTCTCAAATGCTTGCCAAAAGCGTGTGGGCTCGGGAGGATGAAATTGCTTGCGGGCCTCCTGTGAAGCTTGTGAGGGTTGTACTGTTGTGTATGCGTTTGGTGCACTATTGGTGGGGTAGTGATTATGTTTTCACAAACAAGCCCGTGGCCTGATGACTGAGTCAGCTGTTGCACCTACTGCGCTGCTAATCTGGGGACTCATGGAGTATGCTTATCCATGGGCCGCGTGGCCGGACGTGGCAGGCATGAGTATGCGCCATAGATTCAATGTCCCCAGCACGCAGTTTTTGGAAGGTCACGTCGGGGCATTTGTTTTTCAGCCGTTGTGTTGAGCTGCTGAGCGTGGGGGTGTTGACGATCCTCGGGGCGAAAGAGCACCGTCGGGAATGCAGTCTCACAGCCAGCTAGAGCATAGCGTGCTGCAATCTAGGGGGCCGTAATATGTTAGCGTGCAGCTGATCTCATGGTTTGGTCGCCTGATTGCGGTGCTTGTGTATTCGCTGGTCCCGACCTGACGATGCGGATTTTGGGCTCAGGGCAGTGCCCTGACCTACCCGTAGGGGTATACGGTAGGTATAGCCCGTAGAAGAAGAAGAGAGCGAGAGAGTTGAAAGGAGAGAATGGTAAGCTCAAATTCGTAGCGTCGCTGAGTGGAACTTGTTCCCAGCAAGCTAGCTTTATGCTGTTTGGGTTCTGTATGAGTGCTGGGAACAGGGTCAGAAACTGCGAAGGGATGCCCACAGTAGCAAGAATTTGAAAATCAGTCGTGTGGAGGAGTCGTGAATTGTGTGTGCTGTTTGCAGCTGTGTATTTGCGGAACGTTCGTTCTGCGCAACAATCTGTTTCACATGAACGCATCGAGGACCAACACAACCTGGGGCGGCGCTCGCGCCCGCGAGGATAGTTTTCCACCTTCATGAAGCAAAGCAAGGCACAGTGAGAGAGCCACAGCCAACAGCAAATAGCTTACCAATGAAACCGATGAGAACCCACAGCCCCTTTCAGATGGTCAAGGAACAAGCGAATTCACGCAAGTCGGAGAAATTTTGCCAGACGTCCAAGCTTTTGATTCCCGGGTATACACATATAACACACGCCACCGGAGATTGAGCCGCATGAACGGGAGGACGACGCCTCGGGTATGGCCTTCTGAGGAAACAGGCCCACCAGAGGCTGACCAACCTTCGGAACCAGAGAAAACCTTGTGACCCACGAGAGGCCTAGCCGTTGCTATATCGAATGCTGTAAATATCAGGGGGGCCACTCCTTAACAAGGGGGCCGACCTCGCATGACAGTGACCAGCTCTCAGTCTCACACCAAAGCCAGCAAACACCGGGAATAAGGGTTGACTAGGAAGCCCTGGGGTTCCTTCAAAGATGTGGCAACTGCTTGTGAACTGTCTGGGGCAACCTCATTTGCATTTCGATGTACAGAATTGTGCAATGCATGCGCCCCCTCTCAGGGTACGTAACAGCTGTTTCATGGGCCGACCACCAACGCATTCCTGGTCAGTGGCCCTACATTTTCACAACATGTTTTATGTTGGCTAGACCCTAGTTCTTGCAGGATTCGCAGAGGCACACCAAGATTGGGGCATCAGCTCCTACTAGCGCTTATAGTAAACTGAAGTTTTAGGATCGCAAGGGCACACTGGGATTGGGCATTCTTGCGTGTAAGTTTTTCTCCAAAATCACATTTTATGATATTTCTCGAACTTGCATAAAAAAACGTAGCATCTGCTACTAGCTAGCCGTTTCCCGCGCTGCTGGTCAGCGCGCGACAGCTTCTGTATTCTTGAGGCATAGTCGTTGGGCAGTAGCATCGTTCATATCTCCCTCTCTTTCTGTCTATCTTTCTCTTCCTCTTGCATGTCCCTTGCCCCTAACATCTCGGGTTTTTGTTAAGATGCAAATTTCCAAATTCTAGCCTTTGTCATAGACTCTGGGAGTATCTTTCGGGTATCGTTTGAACCAAATTCAGGCCCCTCTTCCGGCCCCAGTTTTTGTTAGGTTATGCTGCAGAGGTGTGGGTTGTTGGTCTCACTGGCTCTCAAATCAGACTGTGCCCTAGGGATTGGAGTACAGGAAGGATTGGAAGCACGATAGCTATGTTTGATCGCAGATGCCAGCGTTAGAGCGTTCTAGATTTTTTGGAGCCTCATGACTGGTGCTCATGTCAAGCCGTGCCTTTGGGATTTGCTTCCGAAAATGCGTTAACATACCTACTAGAAAGCCTAGTGACGTTGCACATTTTGAGAAGAGCTTGATGTTCTGTTGCAATTTTCAATCGGAATGGTGTTGTGTCATGTCGCTTTGCTACGGGGAGTCCGGGTTTGGGCTATCTTCTTGGAAGTGTGGGCATTGGGCTATTTTCTAAGTCTGTGGGCCATGAAACCACGTGCTCTCGTAGGTTCGCAATCATCACCTCAAATCTTGGTTGAGAACTCACGTCACAACTTCATTGCTCATGTGTTGTGTTCGCCGCCAGACATGTACCCAAGGGCAGAGAGGCACTCACGCCAGGGCACCGCCCAACATCGCAAATTAAAGCAAACCAAAGCATGCGTACAAGCCAAGCGGGACGAAAACAAAAAGAGGGGTTTGGAGCTCCTGTTGCGAGGCACTTGCAAGTTTGGCTTACCCCAACTGCTCCAGGCACTTCGCATGGGTCGAGTGACCGAGTGCCAGAGCAACATTCTTGCTGCCGGCATCAAGGCTTTGGCGTCCTGTTTGTCTGGATTGGTCACGGCTTCTGTGTACACAGCAGATATCTGTAGTCTCCTTTGGAATTATTTGTAATCTTCATTGTAGTATAACCCTAAAGGATTATTAAAGATATTATTTCTGTTAGACGTCTAAGGAGACTACAGATATGGCTTAATTGCTTGTAACTTCTCGGACAGCATGTGCGTGTGTTGACGAAGCTTGCCTTGCACAGACACTGCAGAAATTCGCTCGGTGCAGCAGGTGAGAAATCTGGCGTGCAGGACTGGGTCTGCGCCAGGGAACGGTGAGGAAGGGTCGTGAAGAAGATTCCCAGATACTATCAGCAGCTCGGACCATCGGCAGATGTGTTGTGATAAATTGTGATGCTAGGATCGCGGGCTGTTGTGCCGAGGGCATTTGTAGAGTTGCTGGCTCAGCTGCATTTGTCTGCCAGGATTGCTGCTGTTATTCTTACATATAACTTCCTGTGCATTCCAAGGCATGGTGATTCTTGGTGCTTATGCAACATGTCGGCTGTTTCGTGATGCGAGTGCCGCAGCTGTGATTTTTTCAGCTCAGTCGCGGGCTGAGCATCGCTGCTCGCAGTGATGGCGAAGCGAGAAACAAGTGGCGTGGTCAAGAAACATCCCTTTCAAGGGAGGACGGTGCCCTAGCTGCAGGCATGAATGGAGGCCAACAAAGAGTTCTGTGTGCTCTGCGACGTTGGAGCACAATTCCTTGGCCCAGATTGCTATCGTGAATGACTTGACGCTGGATGAGCAGTGGTATGTTTACCACAAGACCCGTTTCTCCTCAGCACTGGCAGCTGCATTGCCTCCACAGCTGCTGCCATAGCCTGCTAAGGGGAACTTAAAGAAGCGGTGAAAAACGGAGAGAACCTTGACCGCTTCCGGCTGCAGAATCGAGAGGCAGGGCTGTGTGCCGAGCCCATCAGAACGCCGCCTGACATGTGATTTGATGTGATAGTAGCTGATCAAACATCACAGGCGGCGGTCTACACCATTTTCATGGAGGACTCAACCCGGACCAAAGAGTCCTTCCGAAACGCAGCTGAGTTTCATGGCCTCAAAGTAAACGTCTTCGATGCCAAGACTTCCTCATTCCAGCTCCTCGGCTGAAAAAGGTCCGGGCTGGCAGATGAAATTCAGATGAACAAGGTGTCTTCTGTCATCAAAGGAAAAACGAGACCATCACCGACACCATCAAGATGCTTTGTGGTTATTCCACCGGTCAAAGCTTGTTCGTCATCCGTTCCAAGGCAGAACGGTGCGAACATCGTGGGATTTTTTGGGTGGATGTTGAACATGCCCCGCCCTGCCACAGGTGGAGGGCGTGTGTCGCTGGCTCGAGGAAGCAATCTGGAAGTACTGCAAGCTGCCCGACTCAAAATCGAAGCTGCAGTCACTTTGTCCTTCACTTGACTAAGCAAGGCAAAGAGGCTTCCCCCGCGCATCCTTCATCAATGCAGGCAAGAGTCATCTCTCTTTCTCTCTCGGCTTGCGCAGGGTTGCTTGCTGCCATGATGGCGCATGTATTTTTTTTGCTCAGTGTGTACATGTATATGCAAATCCAAGCTGCTTGCGTTCGTGTTCCAAATCGAGTACCGCTTGCTCTTCAAACGGGCCTTAAGCAGAGCACACAACCACTCAATCAATCAATCAATCAGTCCATCAATCGTCCTGTAGATGGGAGCTGGTGCCCGCCACTCGTCTGCATGTTCCTGCTTTGATAACAAAGTGACAGGAGATGGACGACACGAGCACCCCTCACAAGAGATGCTCGATGAGTTCAGCTTTCTGGAGCAGAAGGGTGCCCGGGCATGATGCGCTACGGATTTAGCGGCAACATTGCAGAAGCTGTGCTGCCATCTGTTGTGCGACCATAAGGGTGGGACACTTCAAGCATCCACTTGGCTCTGCTCGGAGATCTGTTTCACGGTCGCACAGTCCATTCGAAGGTCGATGGGCTGAGGACCTGGTACGAGTTTGCAGATGGGGTCGCTGAGAAAGCATCCACAGTTTCAAGCGGTCAAAGGACGTCCATGAGTTCTCAGACTCCTTATCCGCCAGGATTTACAGAAAAGTCTTCGTTGATTTGATCGCCCCCAGCGAGCTGGCATTGCCAAAGATGTATGAAGATCGCATGGTGGCCAGGGGCTACGTAGTAAGGACAGCGCTGCCCACCCAGAGTTTGATTGGCAGTGATTTGTTTGTCATAGCCCCAGTCCGTGAACAACCGTCAACTCCCCTTCTGTTGCGAGGAAATTTGCTTCGATCGACGATTACTTAGCCCAGGAGAAGGTGGCTAAGATCTGGTATTTCACCCGGCTGCAGCTGGAGCGCATGGGCGACAAGGCAGACAAGCCCGCCTGCTGCACGCTCAATCAGGTCACTCATGCAGCACAGCGCACTCCTTGGCGTCAGGTCTTGGAAAAGTCGAAGGAACTTCGAAAGGCCGTGACAATGAGGCAGGACTTTCTCGACAAGCTCCCGCAGGGTGTGAAGTTCTTCCACCCATTGCTTCTCGAAAGCAAATTCTTGAAGCTGCTTCTGCCGTTTTTTATACATTGTGAAGATGCCATGTTTGTCGCCGTCGGTGCAGTTGATCTTGGTAAGCAGGCTTTGAACACGTGACAGACGGCATGCAGTAAGGCCACGAGACGCCAGACACCCGACACTGCCGTATTGGTTGGACAGCACAGAGCTCAACGGATGGGATCAGCAGTCGCAGCCCCTTCGAAAGCAATCAAGGCTCGGGGAAAGCATGAATCTGCGGCGTATTATTGTTCTCGTTGGCAATAAGGAACGGCTACTTCACACGCCCCTCAGTGCAAGACAGTGGCTGTGCAGATGGAAGCACCGTGCATGTTTTTGAAAAAGCTGGATTCTAGACATGCATTCCCAGGCATAGTCCTCCTTGGCATGCTAGGCAGGGCAGCTGTGGGGCAGTCCCGGGTGATTCTGCAAGTTTGTGCCACTTTTGAGGGGCAAGGTGGTCAGCACTTCCCTGATCCTGACAAAAGCTTTGCTTGGCTGGTGAGACTTGCGATGATTCCAGGCGGGCACTTTGGGGAGGACTACCGCGTGGACTTAAAGGCGAGGCCTGAGAATCAGCTTACTAGACAATAGGCGGCGCGTGTTAACTTGTCTCAACATCCGGATCTGGACACAACGAGACTCAGTGATGGAAAACTTGTTGGCATGTGACGGGAAACTATGCTCACTTACTAGCTGTGCACCAGGCAGATTCACGGCAGCCTGGCAGCCCAATGCTCTTCAGCCCCAGCTTTCCAGGCAAGGTTCCAGCAGGGGTTTCATGAGCCGAGCAAAGACTTCGACTGTGTTGATCAGACTGCAGGTTGACATTGCTTACTAGACAAGTTGGGTCTTGAGTGCCGGGCAGGAGATTTCTCGCCAACTGGACAGAGAACCTCCATGGAATTGCCTGAAGATTTGGATCTGGGATATTCTCCAGCTCTCATGGCCGCAACTGATTTCATCAAGGACCTCGTGTTTTCAGCAACACCTGTTCAGAAGTTTGACCAGCGTATATTTGCCGTAAGCCGGGGTAGCAGCCTTGTTTTGTGCGAGGAGGTAGCGTTTTCCTTGCCTGACATCACTTCGCCAGAGAAGGTCAGCCAGGAGGCCTCCTCGCGTTGGAAATCCGGGCAAATCCATGAAATCTACGAACTGATGTCAAGCAGGTAGGGTTAGTGCCAATTGCCAATGGCATCGTCATCGAGAACCTGGCAGCAGGGCAAAGCATTGAGCAGGTGCGTTGCGGTGAGGGGTGGAGCCACCCCACCCGTCCCTTTGTACTCGTACCTCTGCAGGTCTGGAGCCTCATGTATATGGTGCGCGATATCCTTGACCTCCATCATGTGGGAGGTCAGGGCGTACGGACATCAGATGAGACAAGTGGTTGCTTGGCCTGCCTTAGCCTGTACGTAGCCATTTTTCCAGAAAGTTCAGAAAGCATTGATACCGGGGGTTCCGTGGAGGGTCTTGCTGATGTTGATGCTGGCGATGTTATGGATGTCTTGGATGGCTGAGATACAGTGTAAGCGCTAGGCTTTGCACGGTCGACTCTGTGGCATCGTCAGTGGACCGTCGACTCTCTGGTAGTGCAACATGCGCTGATTTCAAAGCCGTTACGTTTTGGGCGCGGCAGCAAACATGGAGTATTGACGCCGCGACATTGTGCAACTGTCTGTTGGTACGACAAGTGGTTCCGCAAAAGCCTATGAACAAAAACCCTCACTTTGGCTCTGTGACATGACGAAAGTGTGAAGCTATCTTGCATGCTTGACCCATGTCAATCGTCAGCCTCATAACAGCCGTCGCTTCCGCAGCCTGACAGTCTCAAAAGTGCCAGCAGGCACAGGGGCACGAAAGTGTCAGGGGTAATTACGGGGATGATTGGGGTGGGGGCTGCCATCCTCGCCACTGTCGTTGTTTCTGGCTCTCGCATCCTCCCCTTGTCAGCCACCCAACAAGCCATTGTGGAAACCTGCCCTAGCTGTTTTTGCTGCAGTTTGGCGAGCATTGCTCACTGCCACCTCGATCTTCTAGATCTTTGCAGCACGCGGCTGTGCGTGTGCACTTTCCACTGTTTTCCTCAAGGCTTTCGTTAGGGTGCCGCTCGCAAGCCAATCTGACAACTTTTTCTCTTTCCGGATTCTACAAGCCATTTGACCACTTACCGGTCAGTCTGACCACTCACCAGCCAATCTGACCACTCATTGGGACCCAATCTGAATTCTTCGAAGCCAATCTGACCTCCCACAAAACAAACTGACCACTCGAACCGTCCACTGACCACCCACAAACCAATCTGATCACTCCAACAAGCAGGATTAACCCGCCGTCCGAAACCCTCCGAGCTCTTCCGAGCTGCCTGGAAGAGTTCGTTGGAGTTCGCAGAGGTTTGCGGGTTGAAAGACGCCTGGGCCGTAAAGCCTAGCATCTTGAATAGAAACTTCAGTTCGAGTGCTCAAGCTTTGCGAGGTTGCACTGCTAGTAAGACCAGAATAGCTCAAAAGTATGACAGAATCCCCCAAAGAGCAAATGATAGTTTAAGGCCTAGCGCTGCCCATGCCGCCTCTGTAGCGACAGCACGAGACAGCAGTAACAACACATAACTACATTAACAGGCGCAGCAACTAACAAGGTAACAGGCGCCGTACTCAACAGGACAAGAAGTACATCATAGTCAAAGTAGGAATGGTCAGAATAGCAGTGGTAAATGACAGCAGTGCTGTAGGGCCTAGCAAAGAGAAACGGATGCCTTGCAATGCTGATGATGCTGATGCCGCATCATCAGCATCATGGGGGGGTCCATTTTCCATTTTTTGGCCCTCCTGTGCCCCTTGGCCTATCCTTCAGTCCAAGCTCTTCTTGGCCCAGGGTCCTTGGCAGGCCTTGGAGCTCATGATTTTTTTGGGGCGGATCTGTGGAAAATCATTCTGTATGCTGGGGGAAGCTTAGAAAGCACGGTTATAATTGAAAGTGCCTTTCGGGTGGCAGAACGCCGCGACCCGTGCGCGAGCATCATCAGCACAATTGGGGCTCCGTTTCTGCCATCGACCCCGGCTAGTACCAACCTCTCAAAATCTCTCAAAAACACGGCGGTAGAAAAACAATTTCATTTGGAGGGTTCCGAGAGGCCTCAGAAGCGAGGAATTGATGTATAGGAACACAGGGCAAGAAAGGCTTCACTGTCCGCTCGCCCCCGCAGGCCGGGGTCGGCGGTAAGATAGACAACTAGAAATCCGGCCTGGCCGTCATGGTCCAGTGCGGATGCACGCCTAGCTAAGCTATGCTTATAGGGGCGCGGCCCGGTCCGCCGACCTTTTCCCTTGGAGGCCCTGGAGGCGTGTTTTTGGGGGTCAAAACTTAAGGTGATT